AATTTAATTTTTTAAATATCATAATTTTTTTATATATAATTATTTTAAATTATTTTATATTTCGAACAATAACGATTCGAACACGAACGAACGCATCACTGTTCGTGTTTTGTTCGTTTAACTAATTGAACAAAAAAAATTTATTCACGTTCGTCTCGTTTACTTATCGAACGAATCAAACAAGAACTCATTTATGAACCGAACAAGAACTGTTCGCGAACAACGAGCTTTTTTGACAGCCCTAATACAGACCACCCAAAACTTGCCATTTACAAATCAGCCATTCTCTTTCATCCAATTTTCAAATTCTCGCTCGATTATAAAAAAATTTCGATAAAACCCCAACCCGTATTTTTCATTTTTATCAAATTCTCACTAGTTTGAACGTGCACATGTAAATACATTGTTCGATAGTTCAAAAAACTCCTGGATGATTAATTTGTAAATATCAATGTTTCGAATGGTTTGCATGTAATTAAAAATTTTTGAGATTCTCATTTGTAAATAATTCTACTTAATTGTAGAATAGTATCGCTTTATAATAATGGGTTCGATGTGCCAACTACTTTTACGTAAAATCAATGCTCAATAAAACATAAAGACAACATGATTATGATTCTAATTCTGGTGAATATAATATTAAAACCTTATTATTATTATTATTCATTTAGAGGCATAAATAATTTCAAAAATTGTTTAAAGTTGATTTGGTTATAAATTAGATGCATCACAATTTCATACCGAATGACTACAATTGCATGATAATGTAATTCCGATTTCTAACATTGAGATTTTAAAATAGGTATGTGTGTGGGAATGCTCACACGCGTCTGATACGCCTAAAAAAAGTTCAATTTTTCATATCTTTGTAATGTTTATATTTGGTGATTTTCAATGATGTTGCACTTTAAAGGAATGTATTTTGTATATTTGTTGTTTCAGGGACAAGAAATGGAGTTTTGGAGAAAAACTCCATTTTATGCTGTGGATAAAATGGATATGTATGTATGTATGTATATATGTATATTCACAGATACACACACACACACACACATATATATATATATATATATATATATATATGTGATATATATATATCTCAAAGAGTTTTGAGCATGGAAGGATCGTGATATATGTATGAAGTGTGTTAATCTAACAGAGAGTTGTGAAACACTCATAGGAAAATCAAATAGTCCTAAACTATTAGTGAAAAAAATAAGATAAAGACGCATTAAGACACACTTTCATTGATCCAATTATACTTGATAAATATGATATTGATAGAGATCTTGGGAAAAAAAAAATATGGAGTAGTTGGGGTCTCTAATAAATTATTCTAAGTAAAGATTATAATTGTTATGCATGCAATATGGCATGCCCATTATGCTTCATATAAAAGATAAAATAACTATTTGAAACTCAAAGAGTTTTGAGCATGGAAGGATCGTGATATATGTATGAAGTGTGTTAATCTAACAGAGAGTTGTGAAACACTCATAGGAAAATCAAATAGTCCTAAACTATTAGTGAAAAAAATAAGATAAAGACGCATTAAGACACACTTTCATTGATCCAATTATACTTGATAAATATGATATTGATAGAGATCTTGGGAAAAAAAAAATATGGAGTAGTTGGGGTCTCTAATAAATTATTCTAAGTAAAGATTATAATTGTTATGCATGCAATATGGCATGCCCATTATGCTTCATATAAAAGATAAAATAACTATTTGAAACTCAAAGAGTTTTGAGCATGGAAGGATCGTGATATATGTATGAAGTGTGTTAATCTAACAGAGAGTTGTGAAACACTCATAGGAAAATCAAATAGTCCTAAACTATTAGTGAAAAAAATAAGATAAAGACGCATTAAGACACACTTTCATTGATCCAATTATACTTGATAAATATGATATTGATAGAGATCTTGGGAAAAAAAAAATATGGAGTAGTTGGGGTCTCTAATAAATTATTCTAAGTAAAGATTATAATTGTTATGCATGCAATATGGCATGCCCATTATGCTTCATATAAAAGATAAAATAACTATTTGAAACTCAAAGAGTTTTGAGCATGGAAGGATCGTGATATATGTATGAAGTGTGTTAATCTAACAGAGAGTTGTGAAACACTCATAGGAAAATCAAATAGTCCTAAACTATTAGTGAAAAAAATAAGATAAAGACGCATTAAGACACACTTTCATTGATCCAATTATACTTGATAAATATGATATTGATAGAGATCTTGGGAAAAAAAAATATGGAGTAGTTGGGGTCTCTAATAAATTATTCTAAGTAAAGATTATAATTGTTATGCATGCAATATGGCATGCCCATTATGCTTCATATAAAAGATAAAATAACTATTTGAAACTCAAAGAGTTTTGAGCATGGAAGGATCATGATATATGTATGAAGTGTGTTAATCTAATAGAGAGTTGTGAAACACTCATACGAAATCAAATAGTCCTAGACTATTAGTGAAGAAAACAAGATAAAGACGCATTAAGACACACTTTCATTGATCCAATTATATTTGATAAATATGATATTAATAGAGATCTTGGAAAAAAAAATTATGGAGTAATTGGGGTCTCTAATAAATTATACCAAGTAAAGATTATAATTGTTATGCATGCAATATGGCATGCCCACTATGCTTCATATAAATGAGTTTAAAATTCATTGTTATTGAATTGAGAAATATTAACATGATGCATAGTTGACGACAAGCTTCCTTCTTCATTACTCTTGTTTTATTTTACTCCCACTTATAATGTACTTTTGTGTCATTTTATTATATAACAAAAATATATTTATGTAAAATAGATGTTACTATTTCATTTTTGTTTAAATATGTGATTGTTAGATTTGAGGTGTTGGAGGTGAAAAACCATGTGAGGAGTTATTGGTTAAAAAATAACCTCATTTAAAAAGTGATTAACTCTAATTATGATATGAATAAGCCTTGAGAAAGATATAAGGACATGACTTATATTATGATAAAAAAACTATGTCATGAGATCATATGGACCCACTTTTTACATGAAAATGTGGCAAGTGAATATTGATCAAAAGGAAGACAAGTTCGTTGATACTAATGTTGTACATTCTTTGTTTGTGACATCATTTATGGTAGATATGATAATCACTAGATTTTGAATTTAATATGGTCATGTCATTTTTTTTCTTTTGAGTTAGCTGAAAATGGTTGCATGAGAAAGCATCACATTGCATGACAGATTAATTTGACATCATGTAGTTGAAGGTATATGATTTTTTTACCATTATATTGATAAAGGTTAGCATTTGTTAGATCTTAAAAAATTCTTATATCTTAATGTTTATAGTGAAGAAATATGCATGGCCTCAACAAGTGCTTAAGTACAAAAAATTTTTGAAGGCTTGTTGACTGTCGTGAAATGATAATATTTGATGGGCATTATGGGTTATATGTTAAAATTTTGAGCAAAGGTAATCCAATTACTAGTGTTTATTGGGCATCATGATTAAAATAAGAAAAAAAAGGTTAGCTGCATATTATTGGTTTCATTTTGAAATGTAAAGTTGAGGGGAAACTTGTTGGACTTGATCATTTGATTACATTTAATGTTACACAATTCATCTCAATGCCTTAATTTAATAATTAGAAAAAAATCTTTATAGGCATAAATTTTAAGTGTTAGGTGCACAATTGATTTTTGTTAATTTTATTTAGCATGCAACAACTATGCTTCTCACATGCATTATTTCTATGTATAATTTAGGCTTGTTGAAGTTGAACAGTGCCCAACTCTTTTGTGCTTTAGGAGCTTGAGCCAAATTTGGGGAGGAGCCATATAGAATATTCAAATTTAACATTATTGAATCATGATGTGATATGTTAAGACCTCAGGTCAATAATAAATGAAAATTTAAAGTAGATCTTTTTGTTTGGATATCTTATCATGGTTTAGTAAGAGTTGAAAAAAATAATAACTAAATAAATCTACAAAGTTAAAGACGAAAAGAAAAAGAGAAAAAAAAGTAAAAGAAAGGAAATTTTTTTATTAAAGTTATTATATCGACATTAAATGTCTGGTAGTGCTAAGAATATTGTGAAAATCACATAAAAATATTCTAGAATGAATCCTTTTTGAGTTCTTCTCTATAATTTTAAATATATGTGAAAAAAATTGAGCTTTTTTTGAGAAGGCTACTTTTGTTAATTATGTTCATCAATCAAGAGCTTATCACACCACAAAAGTGATCAATCTTTCCCATTACAATTCAGGGATGATTACATATAGACCGCCCAATATTTACAAATTAAGTACCAGGTGATATTTTTGAACTAACAAACCAATACATTTACACGTGCCACTATCAAACTACTGAGAATTTGATTTGTAAATAACAAGTTTAGCGTGATATGTATGTAATTGACCCTAAAATTTATGACTTGCATGTTAAACATGCAGTTTTTTTTGTAATTTTTCTATTTAGATGGTGCCATTAGTTTGTAATGGCCAGCATGTTGATCACCATAAATACCCACAAGATCGTTCATCAGCCTTCAGACATAGAGATCGAGATCAGGCCTCATGGTGATTAAAATGGATGACAGGGAAGAAAAAACACAAAAGCCTATCTTGGTGATGCTGGCTACCAACATCTTAACAGGGGCCATGATTGTGCTCAACAAGAAGGTTTTAGAAGATGGCTTGGACGTGCTTGTGCTCATGACCTACCGCCTTCTTGTAGCCGCCCTCTTCATGGCTCCAATTGCTTGCTTTGCTGAAAGGTGCGTAAATATTTTGTAATTGTTGAGGAGTCATTATTGCTGGAGATTGACATGTTGCAGCTTCTGCTATAACTCATGCAGAAACAGCAGGCCTAAACTTTCCTTTGGGATTTTAGCATGTCTTTTTCTCAGTGCGATTCTGGGGTAAAATGAATTATTTTTTGTCTGTCGTTTGGTGCATAGCTAAAATGTTTCTTAGTTTTGTATTTGCTTCTGACTAAATTGTTTTATCAGAATCTCGCTCACACAGTCTCTCTTCTATATGGGACTCAAGTTCACTTCTGCAACTTATGCTGCTGCTTTCTTCAACATGACCCCTGTTGTAACCTTTCTTCTATCTGTCGTCTTCCGGTCTCTCTCTCTCTCTCTCTAGGGAGATTTACATAAATACCACCCAATACTTATGTGTTTACATATCTAACACCTTTAAACTTAAATTTTGATATTTTGATATATATGTGCGTCGGGCACCTGATTGTCAGTTGTAAGTCCACTCTGGTCTAGGGATCGATTCTCCCGGTGGAGGGTGTGGTACTCGAATTATTAGCCGTAACGGAGATTGTCGAGCCTCGTATAATAGTCTCTGATCATTCTTAAATATATAAGGTGGAGGGTGTGGTACTCGAATTATTAGCCATAACGGGGATTGTCGAGACTCGTATAATACTCAGATCATTCTTTAATATATATATATATATCACCTTACCTGTGAAACTTTTTAAGTAGGGAGGTGCTGAATTCTTAAATATTGACGTGTCTTTTGATATAATGTTGAAATTCCAATAGAAACATGCTCGCATGGGAGCACTCATAGGATGGGTCGCCTCTTGTGGAGTTACCAACACGACAAAACTGGGAGGCCATTTGGCATAAACTGACAATAACTTGATGGGTAAAAGTTTGAGCTATCACATATTACCTATGCAAGAAAATATGTTTTTCACTTTTGAATAGTTAAAATGGTGGTATTTTTTATGTGACATGACAAATTTGGACAGTATGATTGTAAGAAGTAAAGTTGACCTCCTGGAAAGTTACATTAAAATCACGAGGCAATTTGGCCAACACAAACAGTAGCTTGATAAGTGGGTTTTGACTGTCTCATTTCCTACGCATGAATTTGTGATTTTAACTATTGAATAGTTAAAATAGTGATATTTTTTATGTGGTATAACAAATTCAGGTGTTGTAATAGTAAAAATTAAAAATTAACCCGCCAGATATGTAAATTCATCCAAACTGGGAGGCATTTATGTAAATCTCCTTTCCTGTATTTCCAACAAACACATGCACTAGATAAGCACTAGATGAAAAGCAATCCATTTACTGATCAATTTAAGGACTGCACCATCTCATTGCAGGCAGGAGACCATGGATTTCAAAAGCTGCTCTGGTCTGGCAAAGGGAGCAGGGACTGTTGTGACCATTGGTGGTGGGTTGATACTTACTCTCTACAGAGGAATGGTGCTAATTGCGCCATCAAAGGTAGCTGTGCTGAGCCACCAGACTCCACCGCTGGCTGCCATGCATGAGAGCAAGAGATGGACCATGGGCACTGTTGCTTTGCTACTAGGGGTCTCCTCTTGGGCGCTGTGGTTCCCTCTTCAATCAAGGATTGGGAGGAGATACCGGGCTCTGTATACTGGTACTGCCATTGTTTTCTTGTTCAGCTTTCTCCAGACTGCGCTCATCAGTTTATTAATACAGAAGAGCTTCTCTCAATGGATAGTGAAGTCAAAGTTTCAGATCTTATCTATACTCTATGGGGTAAGAGTTTTCAGATATATTATGCACTGTATCAAACAATTTGTGCGTATTTTCTTTAGTCGGTATTAGTTTAATTGTTGTTGAGTACTATAAAGATTAATTGTTTTAATCTTTTGTGAAATTAAGCTTTATATGTAATGCGTGTTAGAAAATTCACGATAGTAGAGTAGCAGATTATCAACTTAACTTAATATAAATATTCAGCATATACTCAAAAGAAGAAAAAAAACTAGTAATGACATCAGAAATTCTTACGTTTAAATCTCGTAAAAGGAAAAAATCATGAGATATGATCCAACTGAAGAGTTCCAATTTAAATGATGATTACAATTGCAGACACTTCTCCCACAAGCACGTAAGAGTTCGAAGATCTCCACAGTTACAATGTTAACTTGCGAATGAAATTTTCACAAGGAACGGGCGGCGACCAATAAAGGTCGTTGGGGGTCGGTAGGTGGTGGTCTACGGCGGGCAGCAGTTGTCGACGGCAATCAAAGGTGGTCGACGACAGCTGGTGGTGGGCGACGACGGTCGAAGATGCTCGACGACAACATGCGATGCTCGATGGTGATCAACAATGCTCGACAACAATCGACAGTGATCGAAAGCGGTCGGTGGTGCTAGACGACGGTCGACGGAGGCAGGACTGCTCAATGACTGTTGGTGGTTGTCGACGACGGTCGTCAGTGGTCCATTGCGGTTGATAGTGGTTGGCAGTGGCAGGAGTGGTGTTAAATTTTAGCTCCTTATCAAAGCTTCAAGCTCTCACTTCAGACTTCAAGTTCTAATCCATCTTCAAGTTTTCTTCCTCCCTTATGAGAGGGGTGGGGTTACATTTATAGAGTTTTGAGTGCAATTAATGCAGAAATATGAACTATTTTGATTGGATGATCGGGAGAGCTTACTTTGATCTTACAATATTTGATGAACATTTGAGTGTCTTAACGATATCAGAATTGAGTGATCTTGGCTCATTGGATTCGCCTTATCGAGATGCTTGATTCGACATTTGTTTAACCTTCCAAATGTGTGAAAAAAGCTTGCAAATACGGTTGAATGGTTCGCTTGGGGCTTGATTTGGCTTGGATTGGACCAATTTGGTATCATTGGGTCTGTCTCGTTGAGTCAGTCAATTTAACTGTAAGTTGTCAATTTAACTGTAAGTTTGCTGAAATCAGAGCACTAGGCGACTTTTTATCTATGTTTAAATATTAATCAAATTTTGGATATCCTTTGCTCAAAAAATTGTCTTGAGATCCATGTTATTCCTCGAGACTCCTGTCGGATGATAGAATTTTATTGATGGTGTATCATTACGTTTATTGAATTCGAATCATGCCCAAGGATCAGAGCAGTAAGAGCCATGAGAGGGAGGTAGAGAGGGAGAGAGAATGAGAGATTACATAGTTATTTACCCCTTGAGTCAAATTTTGATATTCTCGGGCTTTATGACCCATTTTATATGTTGGAAGTATCGGTCATATGAGAGAAGGGGAGAGAGTTCTCCTTGCAAGGAGAAGAGTCTAGAAAGAAAAACTAAAATGCCTCTAATACATAGTATGATACCCTATTCATAGGAGATAGAGGGACAAATATGTAAAACTATATATTTGCCCCTATTTTAATAGAGACGTTACATGTTATTATTGTCTTGTTCAAGTGTCTGGACCTACTCAGTTTCTTCGGTCAGTCGATTGAGTTGGTTTTGGTCGGCTTTCGTTTGGACAGGTATCAGCCTTCGTTTTGTGAAATCTCCGTTTTTTTAGTGTGGTAGCCAATAAATCTTAGGACAATCGGTTGGCTTTACCAGACTACTGATTTGAACTGTTATATTGTATCTAGATTCGTACACTTCATTTTTTTAACGTACAATGTTGTCTTGTTGGTTGATATGTTCCAGAATTTAGAGATTTAAGTTGTTATGGTATCCTCCTTTAATTTAACTAAGGGAGTAAAAGGAAAGAATCAGGAGTTCATAACCAAAAATTTAATGCCCGGAGCAAACCTTTTTCAAACTTACAAGTAATATAAATCCACTAACTATTGGACTACTGAAAACGAATGGTGGTGGTTCTTCATGAAAGTTGATGGTTTAATAATTGTGATATATGCAGGGCATTGTTGGCTCCGGCATGTGCATCTTGGGGAGCTCATGGTGCGCCAAGAAAAAGGGCCCAGTCTTTGTCATAGCTTTTTTTCCGCTCACACAAGTTGTCGTGGCCACCATTGATGTCTCCTTGCTCCATGAACAACTACTTCTTGGCGTGGAAATCTCGTAAAGAAAAGAAAATCATGGGGTTTGGCCCAGCTGAAGAGTTCCAATTTAAATGATGATTACAATTGCAACCACTTCTCCCACAACCAGGAAAGAGTTCGAAGATCTCCACAGTTATAACATTAACGTGCGGATGAAATTTTCACAAGGAACGGGCGGCGACCAATAACAATCATCAGGGGTTGGTAGGTGGTGGTCGACGGCGGGCAACGGTTGTCGATGACAGTCAAAGGTGGTCGACGACGGCTGGTGGTTGGCGACCACGGTTGAAGATGCTCGACAACAGCATGCGATGCTCGATGGTGATCAGCAGTGCTCGACAATAATCAACAGTGGTCGATGGCGGTCGGTGGTGCTCGACGACGGTCGACGGAGGTAGGAGTGCTCAACGGTTGTCTGCGATTGTCGACGAAGGTCGTCAGTGATCCACTGCGGTTGATGGTGGTTGACAGTGGCAGGAGTGCTGCTGGACTTTAGCTCCTTATTAAAGCCCCAAGCTCTCACTTCAGGCTTTAAGCTCTCATCCATCTTCAAGTTCTCTTCCTCCTTGATGAGAGGGTGGGGTTCTATTTATAAAGTTTTAGGTGTAAATAATGTAGGAATATGAACCATTTTGATTGAACGGTCCGGAGAGCTTATTTTGATATTACAATGTTTGATGAACATTTGAGTGTCTTAACGATATCAGAATTGAGTGATATTGGCTTGTTGGATTTGTTTTGTCGAGACGCTTGATTCGACATCTGTTTAACCTTCCAATTGTGTCCAGAAAGCCTCCAAAAACGGTTGAATGACTTGCTTGGGGCTTGATTTGGCTTGGATTGGAACAATTTGGTATCATTGGGTCTGTCTCGTTGAGTCAGTCAATTTGACTGTAAGTTTGCTGAAATCAGAGCACTAGGCGACTTTTAATCAAATTTTGAATATCATTTGCTCAAAATGTTGTCTTGAGATACATGTTATTCCTCGAGACTCTTGTCGGTTGATAAAAAATTATTGATGGTGTATCATTATGTTTATTGAATTCGAATCATGCCCAAGGATCAGAGCAGTAAGAACCATGAGGGGGAGGTAGAGAGGGGGAGAGAATGAGAGATTACGTAGCTATTTGCCCTTGAGTCAAACTTTGATATTCTCGAGCTTTATGACCCATTTTATATGTTGGAAGTATCAGTTATAAGAGAGAATGAGAGAGAGTTCTCCTTGCAAGGAGAAGAGTCTAGAAAGAAAAACTAAAATGCCTCTAATACATAGTATGATCCCCTATTCATAGGATATAGAGGGACAAATATATAAAACTACATATTTGCCCCTATTTTAATAGAGGCATTACTAGGGGTGTAAACAAGCCGAACACCTCGGCTCGTTTATATTTCTAGCTCAAAAAGTGTGTTCATGTTCGGCTCATTTGCTTAGCGAGCCGAACACGAGTTGTTCACAAACAAATAGTCGTTTTAACAACCCTAATCACATAGCCATAAAATATTAAGGATTTGGGCAAGATTTAAAACATCATTTGAATCTAATTTAATAATGTTTATTTTATTTTCTTAATTAATACTTTTAATTGATTATAAATCTTTTTAGCATTGTAGTCAATTAATTTTTTTATAAATACTACTCATCAAAGATGTATATATATATATATAATTGATTAGTAGTATTTTGAGCTAGAACGAGTCGCACACGAACAAATAAATTTATTTGTATTATTCGAACACAAGCTATTGTCATTTTCGAGTGTCTGGACCTTCTGCTCTGCAGCTTCTTCGGTCAATCGATTGAGTTGGTTTCGGTCGGCTTTCGCCCGGAAACTGATTGGTCTTCGATCTGTGAAATCGCTCAATTTTGAGTGTGGTAGCCGGTCTATCTTAGGACAATCGGTTGGCTTACCAGACTACTGATTTGAACTGTTAGATTGTATCCAGATTCGTGCACTTCATTTTTTTAACGTACAATGTTGTCTTGTTGGTTGATATGCTCCGGAATTCAGAGATTTAAGTTGTTATGGTATCCTCCATTAATTTAACAAGGGGAGTAAAAGCAAAGTATCAGGAGTTCCTAACCAGAAATTTAATGCCCGGAGCAAACCTTTTCAAACATAACAAGTAATAATAAATCCGCTAGCTGTTGAACTACTGAAAACGAACGGTGGTGGTTCTTCATAAAAGTTGATGGCTTGATAATTGTGATATGATGCAGGGCATTGTTGGCTCCGGCATGTGCATCTTGGGGAGCTCATGGTGCGCCCACAAAAAGGGCCCAGTTTTTGCCATAGCATTTTTCCCACTCACACAAGTTGTCGTGGCCGCCATTGATGTCTCCTTGCTCCATGAACAACTACACCTTGGCAGGTAATAAGCCCTCACATTTCCTTTAATTCCACCCAGGGCTAACTGCGGTTACCTAAACTTACTCCGGCGGTGGTATGTAAATATGAATGTTTTGGTACTGTTAGATGTATAAATACAAAAGAATTGTGTGGTGTATATGTATCCTAATGCCTAAACTATATAAACATTTGTTTTCGTAGTGCAGCCTTCTGGGGTCTATTGTCATAATATCTGGCCTTTATATTCTTCTATGGGGAAAAAGCAAAGAGACTCTGGATTCTGACTCTGCAATCAAGTCCAGCGAAACAAGAAGTAATCCTGAAGCTGGATCAGTGGGTCCATAACCATGCTGTTTTCTGCTCTTGCGGCCTTAATTGTTTGTAGCGTAATTGCATTGTCTTTTCAGCAGTATGAACAATTTCTCATTATGTTGGAAAAATTAGATATGAAAGGTAGACGATGTACTCTTTCGAATAATGTTTAGCAATGTTGTATATTTTTTTTTGGTGTGGCGTTTTACATACATATCACATGATTCATATGTCATTATATATCTAATGTCTAAATTTTATTTTTTATATTTATAACATTTAAATCTCTCATATAATATCAAAGATGATGCTATGAACAGGTAAAGTGTTATAAATATAAAAACTTAAAAGTTTAGATATTATAAATAAATTTGGGTTCAACACCCTGAAAGGTGTGGTGAGCATGGATCGAGTCATAAATAAGAAGTGGCGCATCACAAGGGGAAGAATCGAGCCATATAGAAGTAGCAGTATAAAATGTATTTGAAAAATTGCCCGAGAGGATTGTCAGACTCATCCATTAAGCCACCCGTACTCTTACCTCTTCCAATCGGATTTCTCCAGTCGATCTCCTCTACTCGGCCTCATTCATTCAGCCATATATATGGATTTCTCCACTCGGCCTCCTCTATTATTTTGCATCCATTCGACCACCTTTAGTCGCCCTCATCCATTCAACTTCCTTTACTCAATCTCCTATACTAGGCCACTTGCATTTGGCTAGAAAAAATAACTCTCCCAATAAAGTTCACTCAGAAAAATAGTTAGTCAAAGGGAAGACAAGTCACGAGGAGTAGAGCCAAGCAATAAGAAAATCTCTAATAGCAGGGAAAATCTCTCAGAACCCTCATTTTTTTTTATTTATTTTAGTGTTAATTTTTTTTTTCACTTTTTCAACGTGTATGTTACTTATTATATAAAAAGAGTTTGTCGCTAACACTAAGGAAACTTGGTCAATCAATTTGAAAAACCTGGCCAACCATTCAAGGAACACGATTTAAGGCATAGGGGCATTCTCAATATTTTGAATAGCTATATCATTCTCCTTATCCTAAGTGGTAGTTCTCCCTACTCTATGTGGGAACACCCAACCACTCCTCAGTCGAACCTATTGGATATCCTCGATAAGGGACCTATAGGAATTAATCATATAAAAAAAACACTAGAATGGTCTATGGATTGAGGCTTAGGCTGAGATAGGCAACCCTCATTTTCTTAAAGATTCTCCTCATCATATACCTAGTGAGTGCAATCTAAGTCAGGCGTGTCATCCTCATCAAGATGAGCTGTCATAATCAGAAATATGAAAACATGAAAAGTAACCAGCAAATGGAGTTTTCATTTCATCAGATTGGGTAAATATGTGACCAGTATCTTCCAATGGTACATCATGTGCCAACCCCAATGACACATGAATAGCTACTAAAATCTCCAGTAAAGCCTTTGAGATGAAACCGGCTGATGTTTGTCCCATAGTCTTCTCCAAAAAGTACTTGAGGATGCTGATCTCTTCAAGTCATTACTGGGTTGTTAACCCATCCTTGAAAGGACACAACTTCTCCAAGGTACGTCTTAAATGTTGGTAGAATAGGCAATAGTCAGGTGCTAAGATCTTATCCACCACCTCCGGTTTAACAAGCACAATTAGCTTCATCCCTTGCTTCGGTAAGTACTTGAAGATTTTATGACACAATCCTTTTGAAAAGGATATTCATGGTACTTTCTCTCTCAAGAGAGAGTAGTGTACTTCTTTGAAAAAGAAGGGCTTATTGGCTCTATTGTAGCAAAAATTTTGTTGTTTCATGAGACTAAAACTAGTATTTTGCCTATCCTCTAAGAGGGAATATCGACATGAGGATGTTTTCTTTCCTTTCCGTTATCGACCTCATCTTTGGAAACCATCTTGGGGTGTCCAGTAAATTAAAAACCATTGAGAGTAACTTCAAAGGTTTTAATGGAATATAGCTTTAAGAGTGTCATACTATGCCCGCTCAATTTGCTAAGAAGGAAATAAATCATTTACTTATCCGAAAGTGGAGGCTCACAGTAAGGTTTTACTAATGAGTGATAAATCAATAGTTGACTTGTATGACTTTTGATGGATAGTCATTAGATCAATCAAGGTGATCTAGTGCTATGCACCAACAAATCTTTGGATAAAAGTGTCCTCTAGCTCATCAAAAGTCTTGAGTGTCGCTAGGTAATTTTAGGTAATTTGGTATACCATTTAAAGGCAAAGTCTGTTAGGCTAATATTAAAAAGACACATCAATAAGCCATTATTATTGTTAATATTATAACAAATCACTCTATAAAACACAAATGTGAAGTAACCGAAGCACATCTCACAATAAAATCATAATATCATATCTCACCAATAAAAAATTCAGATCTAGAGACAATGTGCGAAATTTCACTCCCAAAAACTATGTTTCACTCAAAGAAAATAAATAAATTTAAAAGAAATATAAGAAAATTTAAGCTAAGAGACGAACCTGAAGATAAATATAAAATTTTAGAATTTAATATAACCTGAAGATAAATATAAATTATATCAGATTATAATTTATAGGACTTAATTTTTTAAAATATGATAAATTTTTAGAGTATATAATTATTTTAAATTATTTTATATTTCGAATAATAATGATTCAAACATGATCAAACAAATAATTGTTCTTGTTTGGTTCGTTTATAAATTGAATGAAAAAAAAAATCTTTCGTGTTTGTCTCGTTTGTTTATCGAATGAATTGAATATGAACTTCCCAACGAACCAAATACGAACTGTTCGTGAACATTAAGCTTTTTTTACAGCCCTACCCAGTAAGGAGAAAAAAAAAACCTATATACATATATATAGATAATGGAAATATATTATTGTAGAGAATTTTTTATTGTCATTTTATTTTTCATTGATCTTAAATTAAATTAAATTAAATTGTTTTTAGGCCCACCCAAACCAAAAAATTGATTGAGATTCATGCGCACCAACATATTTTCATCACCTTACACAAATCACGATGCAATCTTTTGAACAAAAAACATTTCAGATTCAATTAAAGGTCATATGGAATTCTGATTTTAGCAAACTTATTAGTCAAACTGACCGGCTCGATGAGACATACCTAATGATATCAAAGTCTTTCCAATATAAGTCAAATCAAGCCCTGATCAAGTCATTAAACTATTCTTGGAAGATTTTAAGACACATTTGAAAAATTAAATGGTTGTCAAATCTGACAAGTTTATAGTCAAATCGAGCGTCTCGACAAGACGAATCCAACGAGCCCAAAATTGCTCTATTTTGACATTATTATGACACTCAAATGTCCATTAAACGTTGTTTGATTTGAGGAAACTCTCCGGACCGTCCGATCAAAATGATTCATATTCATGCATTAATGACACCTAGAACACTATAAACAGAGCCCCACCCCTCACATTAGGGGAGAGACTTGAAGCTTCAAAGAGAACTGGAAGCTTTGAGAAGAAGTTGAAGTCCAGCACCATCTCAATCGTCGTCGACACCCGTCGATCGTCGTCAGCCACTGTCGACCGTCACCGTCGATCATCGTCAATCAACATCAATCACCACCAACCAGACGTTGTCAGTCATCATCATGGGACATGAGCTCATCACTACGGTCTATGTGTCAACAACAACAACCTACGTGGTTTATAGCTCGTAGAGCTCCCGTCTCCAGCCCCCAGACCTACAGACGTCATTCATACTTGTCCCTACAACCTACGTGGTTCATAGTTCATGCAACTTCAAACTCTAGCCTTTGCTGCCTACGGACGTCGTTCTTACTCGCCCCTACGACCTACCTGGTTCACAGCTCGTGCAAATCCCGACTGTGACCCTCATGGCCTACGGACGCCATTCATACTCGCTCAAATGACCTGCGTGGTCAACAGCTTATGCTGCTCCTGAATCTGGCCCTTGCGGCCTACTGATATCATTCATATTCGCCCTTACGGCCTATGTATTTCACAGGTCGTGCAGCTTCCGACTCAGGGCCCGGCGGTCTACAGATGTCATTCATACTCGTCACTACGACCTATGTGGTCCACAACTCCCGTAACTACATACTATGGTTTCTTTGGTCAATCAACACTTCTGATGCAACCATCTACTACATTCACGATGGACTACTACCTCCACAACAATTAACAATGACCCTTGCAATCTGTTTTCACAAAGAACTGCAGGTAGATTATAGTTATACAATTTCGTAATTTCATCTTCCCTAATTTAGAAGAAGGATGAACATGTGTATTTATCGTTCATAGAGAATTGTTTCAGCTGGGCTAGGCCTCGTGGTTTTGCCCATTTTCAAGGGCTTTCCACGTAAAAAGTTGAGGTGTCTCCTTTTGCTTACTTATCTTTTTTCATCTGTATGTGTTAAATTCTCATGCAACGCTAAGACGATAATCCATTACTCTATCGCTACGAATTTTTTGGCACGCATCGAAGATAATCCATGTTTTATTAACGACCCAAAAGCCTTATTCGCAATTTTTATTGCCCATATTTTGCACTAATCAAAAATTGAAAAAGAAATTTTATTATTTATAAAATGTAACACTCATGTGATATTTTTGAACCACCGAACCGATGTATTTATGCGTGCTACGATCAAATCACTGAGGAATTGATAAAAATGAAAAATATGTTAGGGTTTATGAAGAATTTTGATATTTGTGTGAGAATTTGAAAAGTTGATGAAAGAGGGTGCTAGATTTGTAAATAGCAATGTTTCTGTTTCTGATGTTATACATATGCCTTTTTTTATTTTCAAATTATGTCCTTAATTTAGTATTGATGCGTACTAGAAAATTTGCGGTGGTAGAGTAATGAATTATCGTGTACTAGAAAATTTGCGGTGGTAGAGTGATGAATTATCGTCATAGCGTCGCACAAGGATTCAACACACACTCAGTGAAAGAGAATCAACATGTGATGACACCAGAAGTTTTTACGTGAAAAACCCGTAGAGGGAAAAAATCACGGGGTCTGGCTCAGTTATAAAAATTCCACTATAAGTTGATGATTATAGAGATCCATTGTCCCATAAACGGGAAAGGGTTACAAGATTTTCCAAGGTACAACGTTGGCTGACGACGTCTGGTTAGCAATGGTCGACGATAGTTGATGACAGTCTGCGGTGGTCAACGAAGGTCAGCGAAGATAGACGGTGGTCGACAGCGGCCGAAGGGAATCGACGGAAGTCAGCGGGGGGCGTTGGGTCGATGACGATTGTTAGAGGTATACGACAGTCGTCGGCGATCGTCGGAGGTCAGCGGTGGTTGATGACGGAGGTTGGTAGTGGTGCTGAGATGCAGCTTCTCCTCAAGGACTCAGACTCTCTCTAAATTTAAACCCCCTCATGTGACGGGTGAGACTCTATTTATAGTGTTTTAGGTGCAATTAATGCAAGAATATGAACCATTTTGATCAGATGGTCTGGAGAGCATCCCACGATCAGATGACGTTTAATGGACATTTGAGTGCCTTAACGATGTCGGAATTGAGCAATCTTAGGCTCGTTGGATTTTTTTTATTAAGACGCTCGATTCAATTATGAACTCGCCAGATTTAACATCCGTTTGACCTTCTAAATGTGTCCATAAATCTTCTAAGAATGACTTAATCACTTGGTTTAGGCTTAGTTTGACTCGAATTGGACTAACTTTGATATAATTAGATCCGTCTCATCGGGTCGGTCAGTTTGATTATAAGTTTATTGAAATCAGAGCTCTGGATGACTTTTTATCAATATTTGAATATTTTTTTATCCAAATATTACCTCAAGATACGTGTCAGATGATAAAAATTTATTGATGACACATCAATATTAATCAATGCAGTATAATTAGGAAATAAAAATTATTTAAACTTATCAACTGTTATGAACAAAGGATTATTCATATTTGGTTCATTTATATTTCAAGATTAAAAAAATTCTTTATATTTTATTTTTTAAGATGATATTCACGACATTATCAAACTAATTAGTAATAATAGTAAAAAAATGCTCGATTAAATAATATTTCCGCAAAAATGTTATTATAAAACGCAGACAAGGCATGCTCGATTAGGCTTTGGCTGGCAGAGAAGAGAAGCAGGAAGGGCGGAGTGGGAGAGAGAGAGCGAAGCGAAGACAACATCCATGACTATGGGGAGTTCCGTTGGATCTAGCGTCGTCGGTGAGGAACTTTTCGATCTCCTAGTAATGATTTCTTTTTATATTCTTGTTGAAATTGGGATCGATGCATGCCAATTCTTTTTGAAAGCTGATCGGATTTGTTCTGATGAATCCGATCAGATTTGGGTGCCTTTTTTTTTGTTCTTTATTTGCAGATCTATTAACTCAGTAGTCCAGGTAGAAAAAAACTATCTTACTACTTTAACTTTTGGGTGCTTGTGATTCTTTTCTTGTATGAACTCAACTGAAGTAGTTCTTCGATCTTAATCATTGGTTCAATCTGATTTTATCGTTGTCAGTTGATTTGTAAGTAGTTTGTGGGTGTTTCTGTTTCCTGTTTTTGTTTTTTTTTTTCCCTTAATATCATTTTTTGTTCAGGCGTTGTTTGCTGTTTTTGAGAATTGTTTCATTACAAATTTTACCCTTAGGAATTTGTAGCAGTCTATATGGAAAGGTGCTGTTTCAAAAGCTGATGCGACTGGGTGCTGTATTGAATTTATAACTTGTGTGCAAGAGCGATTTGTTATTTTCTGTTGATTGTTAGACATATTGTTATATTGCTAATCTAGCTGTCTTAGTTAGGTCTGCAATAAGAGTCAGTATGCCACTTTGCTTATTTGAAAAGTGCCTGTTTGGATTTAAATATAGTTTAATAATATTACCATGATGAGAAAGTTGAATTATTAGGACATCGCCGGCATTCTCCAAGTTCAAGCTGACTTAATCTGAGGAATCTCTTTACAACCACCCCTTCATTCCATTAGGTAATTAATAATGTGCATCATAACCATCAATCTATCTGGATTAGATGACCCAATCAAAGAGATTGAGGGTTATGGTGAGGAGAGCCTAGGAGGACTCAGGCTTGGTTTAAGAATTCTATATGATGATTGAAAGTATGGGGATGGAATATGAGCGTTACGATTCAGCATGTGGTTATGAAAAAAATTATAAAGGTCCCATCTTTGTTAGCTTTGAAAGTTCCATGACACACTTTGAAACCTTTTAGTTTTATAGGAATAGAGGAGTGGCATCATATTATATGCTCAGCTTTAAAGATTTCATAAGTGAGGTTGAGTTCAGAATTCAATTTGAGAATAACTCTATCTTTTTTACCTATTGCTTGGAGAGTGACAAAGGCAACAGATTAAATGAGCTTTGACTTAGATCCTTCCATTCTTTTTTTTGAACAATTAACAACAGGCTTTCATCATTATCATTGTTGTAGGCAAGTTATTATCAAAGTTGGCAGGTGGAAGCACTAATGGAGGCACGAGTCATATGAATGTCCTAATGAAGGCTTAAGCCATAATATCATCATTACAACTTGGGTGAAGGTGAAGTTTGGTATAGCCCTTTGAGTGATGCCTTTAACATTGTCGAGTGAATGTTATAATTTGTAAATTTGATGGAGTGAGCTATTTATACCCACGGAGTGTGTTTGATCTAAATTATCCTGAGGATGTTGTTCAAGTAGCTTAGGATTCTATATTTTCATATTTTCTTCTTTGCTTTATCATGTTGATGTCTTAATTTATTAGCCTTTCTCTTAATTTGTTGCTTCTTATACTTGGAGAGGGATTAATTACAATGGTTTATGAAAATTCCTATTCTCTGGGCAAGATTGGTGCTCACACTTCTTCCAGGAAAGTGGATAATTTTAGCTTTTTAGTCTACTAGACTTGCTCGATCAAAGAGATTGCGACTAGGGATCATAGTAAATTTAACAGCTTAGGGTGTTATCGTTTTCTTTTAGGCATCCCCACACTAGAAAGCGTATAAGCATATTTTCTGGGAAAGACTGTGCGTCTCTTTAAAAGTTAATTATAGACATCACTTCAAGGTAAGTTTTATTTTCTTGAAAGTTAGCCTTAGGCATATCCAGAGATAAGTTGCTGGGATGCTATCTTCTACCTCCATGATCAAGATAGAGGATAGGTTATTCGTATTTTTCTGCCATATTTTATCTTTGTTCATTAGTTCTTGCATTAAATATAAGCCGGCTTTTTCCCATCCTATCCACAAGCAGAAGACTACCAGAGAACTAACAAGAATGAAGTTGCAATAAGCAGACACATGCAAGCGTTCATGATCCAAAGAAGGGAGGGAAAGTTTTATGATATTTTGATCAACTAGCTAGTAAAAAAAATTTCGAGAACGACTTTATGCTGGAATCCTAGCTTGTGATAAATCATTTTGAGCATATCTCAATGGAGGGATCCAATTTTGAAGTTTTTTAGCATGCCACCATTGTATGCTTTATATTTCTACCGCGAAGCAGAAAAATATGCTTTTTGACCATATAATTTGGTGTCGGTATTTTGAATACTTTCGTTCATCAATTCATTCATATGAAACAAAAATAGATTTTGGAAGTGGCTACATACATTATGCACAATGTGTTTGATGTCGATATTTTGTATACTCCGACATCTCCAGTTCTCCCTCATAGGGCTATATCCAAGGGCGAGTGGTGCCCCGACCCTATCTTGTTTCACGGTGGTGATTATCTTTTACTTTTCCGCCCTTCTCATCCTTCCTTTGGTGTCGCTATCTCCATTCCTTGCTACAGGAGCCCTCAGTCAACCCTCTTGGTTTTTCCCCTGCCAACCCAGTTGTCGACCATCCTTAGGCCCACCTGCAATCCCAATCCTGCCACAATCCCTTCCACCCTCAGTCACCTACCTACTTGTTATCCTCCAGCCAATCCATGTTTGTTGTCACCATCCCGAATCCTCGTTGCACCTTGTTATCGTCTTCCAGCCAGCGTCCCCACCTTCTCCTGTCTTCAACCATTATCTCCTTACCAACAATCCTTGCAGTTGCTGCTCCTGCTGCCTCCACTGACCAGCCAATTGACCATAACCCATCCACCCCCTGCTTTAGCCGTCCTTCCAACCCCGCTTAACTGATCAACACCTTTTTGGATCACAACCATAGTTGGGTGGGTGTCCTATCTATTATTGTTTCATTTTTTTAGTGTGTTGGTATTAACTTCCTATTGGCTTTCTTTCAATATTAATATTTGCTTTTCATATTGTTGTTTCTTAACTCTGGTAGCATTTGGTATCACAGTCTAACCCTAGTTCTATCCAAGGGTTACCTAAACTCCCCCTACCTAATCTAAATTTTTCTTTTCCACCCAGCATCACACCCATACAGCCTGTCCTACATACCCACATTCAAATACTATTCATGCCAACAAGGAGACAAATGTCAACGCTGATCATGAGTTTGCTATGGAAGAGATACATCGACAACTCTACTGAGTGTTACAATGGTTTGATGAAATTGAGGAAAGGACCTATGGAGAAGTCATTGCCGACCTTGTTAGTGAGATCCAGGGAGGAGAGTGAGGAGAACATTTGAATCCTTTCCGTAAGGATGATTTCAATGAAGAGGACAATCAACTACGATACTGATATAAAAGTTACACTTCAACAGAGGTATATGTAACACATATTCCGAAGTTAGACCTGTCGCTAAAATAACATTCTTTATCAACAATGGAACTTTATGACCCATCAACAATTTTAATAGCATCTTTCCCAGAGCGAGGATAATATGTCAGAAGGCTTAAGTGTTTCCAGACATGTGGTCCGTGGTATATGAATCAATGATTAATGGACTAGAAGGAACAAAAGAAATGAGTGTCGTAGAATTGGTATCTTGACGAACGTGTGAGGTCAATGGGTCGGAAGAAAGCGGATTGCATCTAACCAGCTTGATTAAGTGCTCCATTTGACTTTTAAGAGAACTGGAGAATTTCAGATTGCTTTGGATAGAGGCTGGTTGTATCAAGTTGGATTCGGACGTCGTAGCGAGACCCTTGGCAGCGAAGATTTGGCCGAAAGTTTGGATGCATGATTCTTGTGGAGCTTCCAACACTTATCATAAGTGTGGCTAGATTTGTGACAGAATTCACAAGTAGGTTGACCTGCCCAGGGTTGAGCACTATTAGAGACCAAGGCGGATGCGTCGACAGATGGAATGGAAGTACACAACATGACCAATCTCCTGCTCTCTTCGCGACGAATCTAAGTGAAAGCTGTGCAAGTAGAAGGAAGAGGATTTCGACCAAGGATACGGCCCTGGACTTCATCAAAATTTTTGTTGAGGTCTACCAGAAATTGAAAAATGTAGTCATTTTCTATAATTTTTTTGAAAAAAAGATGTTGGTCGGAGATTACCAAGTGTATTCATAATATCACGTTCCATCCGTAACACAACTAGATTGGTACTGTGTCACGGTCCTAGATCATTGTTTTGCCTCATGGATTTTTTTAGGAACCTCAGAGAGTTGGCTGAAATTTTCTACTCCCGAGTATATATCACGAACTGCTGTCCAGTTGAAGTCTCCATGGAGTTAATCAGCTATGACAAGATCATAGAATTCTCCACTTTCCAAGCTCCATACATTGGGTTAGTTTTTGAAGGTTTACGAATCATACCAGTGAGATGATTGATCTTCCCACACCCTTTGATGAACAAAGATACAGATTGAGGCCATTGGAGAAAGTTACCGACGCTTAATTTATGAGTTGTGATCAAGAAGTTCATATTATTTTCCTATCATGCTGTCTATAGAAGAATGGAGGTTGGAATTGATTCTCCGGTGGAATCAATAACACCTTCTAATGACAGGTCAGTGTTGGAGAAGTCCGTTGTGGTTCCGATTGAGCCAAACGAGGTTAGGTTGTTGAGGCATCGCAAGGCTCCTACTATTGGCAAGATTCCACTTCGGGTCACTGAAGGAACTCAAGTTATGGGACCTTTACTTGAAACTGGACTTTGTGACATTGCTGACAAAGACTCCACTTGGGCTCACCGCAAGAACAAGTTATGGAACCCTTCACCGAAAGAACAAGTTCTGGAGACGGGAGTAGGGAATCCTGGAGACGAGAGCAGGGAATCTTGGAGATGGGAACTAGGTCGCCTAGAGACCTTCTTTGGAGGCAGGAACCTAGCCGCAGAGTCGGGATCCTGGAGACAGGATTAGGGAAAACGGCAGGGACCTGGGCAGGAAGGTAGAGGCAATTGAAAGTAAACCTAGCCAGCCAGAGAGTCCAACAGCTAAGTTAGGGTCATGACTCTGATACCATATCAAAATAGAACCTAAGGTAAGTTTTATTGATGCAAAGAGGGGTATCAGTACTCATTACTAGATCTACTTGTAAGGAAAGAAATAAAATCAGTACCCATTACTAGATCTACTTGTAAGGAAAGAAATAAAATCAGAATAAAGGGGAATAAGAAAAGCAAATAAAAGAAAATCCAAGTAATTAAAACAAAAATTTGCATATTAATATTCTAATTATATATATATATATATATCTATCAACACCTAAGCAAGATGAGTGGTCAGACACACGTTAAAAATTTCAAATCAAATATGACAAGTCTTAACACATTGAAACTAATTATATGCCTAAAAATAAAGTTTATGTTCTTTAATTTACTTTTATTTTGAAACTTATCAATGGACATATAAATTTGCTTAAAATATTAAATTAATATAAATGGCGTTTCTTATCTTTATAAAATTTTATTTGCTTTTTAAAAGCTGTAAACTGATGATGAAAAAAGTTTAAATCATTAAAATTAAAAATTTATTTCAAAAAAATAAAGTATTTTATTTTATTTTAAAGTTAGCAACATTATTGATTTTAAATTTATCAATGAATATGTAAATATGTCTTAAGATGATTAAACGAATTTGTAGGAATTGCCTTTTTTTTGCTGCAAAAACTTTATGGGCTTTTCATATATTAAGTGTTAGATTTATGATTAAGATTTAATCAAATCTGAAATAGGTGAATGATCATGGTTTCTTTTGGATGGAGTGTTTATCGCTTTTTAATTAGTAGAATATCAAACTATCATTATAATCTGAGATAAATATCCACTTGGACCAAGGACTCTTTTTCAGATTAGTCATCAACAACTGAAATACATTGAAAGAGAAATGAACTTGTAGCTTGGCATATATCTATTTGAAACACTTGAAGAAAATTGTTAGAGCAACGAAATACAATGGATTAAGGGGAGGGATAGGGTGTTAGACCACATTGCCAGTTCTACAAGTCTACATTCCAAAGAGAGACATAAGTAGAGGGAATAGGGCGTTAATCCACATGCCTGACAAAGGAAAAGCAATATTATTAAATAAATGGGGGGTTTGCATACATACCACATAATTTTTGTATATTTACATATTTAACATCTTAACTTTGATATTTACTCATCTAACACTTTAATATCATATTCACTTTCAAATATACACATGAAAATATGTATTTAATTATAGATGATTTAATATTGGTATTTTGATGTGAAGTTAAATTTTTTTTGTTACATAAAAATATTTAAAGTTTGGGTGTTAGATATGTAAATATATAGGAATTGTGTGTTATGTTTGTAAATACCCCTAAATAAAAATGAATAATATTAAAATTCAAGACCAATTAATAATGAAATGAATGAAAATATTTGAGAATTTTAACAAGAATCTGGAAATAAATAAAATCATTGAACAAATAAAATAAAATTTAACAATTCAGATTTTCAATACATCAATTTTTGATTAAAATCAAAAGCACTAGACAAATCAATAGCAAATTATGTAAATAAGAACATGGAACAAATTTTCTGAAGTAGGAAAATTCAAGCATCAAGCTGGTATAAGTAGATAAGTTTCAATGGAATTAAGTAGTCACATTTTTCTTGCACTAAAGGAATAGAAAGAACCAACGGTCATTTACTAATTTGAAACATGAAAGAGATTTTATTCAATTTAATTGAAACTATGTTACTTTGTTATTAATTTTTAATAATCATATTATCTGTTCAAATATTTAAAAATTTGTTTGTGTAAAATATGCAATGCAGATTCTATCACTACATCTTTATATCCCGGGTTATTAAACATCACTAAAATTTCTATATTCTGATACTATGTTTAGCAATTCTATCTAATATGCATAGGTTAGTTATAAACCTGATTATTTTTTCAATTTTGTTTTTAAATGAAACTCTGTTGCATAAATCTCATGAATCCAGTTTGAACCAAGCTCTGAGTTGCTAAACCTGTGTGTTTCTCTCACAATGGGTTTGTGAAAACTTTTATGGAAATTATGTAATCATTTTGTTTTCATCTTGTAAAATTTGCTTCATAACCGTCGGTCAAAAATCATTACAGAATGTTAAAGGGTTTGTAATACGAAGGTGGATGGTGAGTTTACATGAATACCTATGAGGTTTCATAACTCTAAATGATATTATTGCTTTTGTAAATGGCATGAATAAACCCATATAGCAGTAGAGCAAAACGTCACCTTTCTAGTGATGAAAATCTTATAAACCTGTATGGGTGGGCTATGGAATGAACCTTCTTTGAGCAATTTCGATATTTGTTATTTACCGAGACACAACATTCAAGCATAACATATATGTTGACTGAACGTCTCCAACGCTAAATGCCTTGGTAATAAATCTAATTGCTTAATTTCCATACTAAATTTCTCAGGTATTTAAACCGTAGTACGTGTGCATGAAAATATTGTCTTATAGATGTAAATATTCTGTTATTATTATGCATTATATGCATAATAGTTGCCTTACAATTCTTATGTATTTTCATGCTAAATATCTTATCTTCGAGTTTTACATTCATAACACTCGAATCTTTCGTCTTTCACATCACTTCAGAAGTATCACTATTACTGACTTTTAATAACTGAAGTACAGTTTTTTCACATATAGGGAAAGTACTATAAATTTAAAAGTCAAAATTTAGACAATAGATATGTAAAATACATAGGAATTATTTTTGTAGCTATGTAAATCTTCCTATTATTGTCTTAATCTTTGTTTGTGCAAATACCCTGTTAATTAGGCATAATTTGCAGTTCCACGGAACTTTAGATTACTCGAAGAACTTGAACGTGGGGAGAAGGGAATTGGCGATGGAACGGTGAGCTATGGGATGGACGATGGAGATGACATCTACATGCGGTCCTGGACAGGCACCATAATTGGACCTCGTAATGTAAATAACTGTTTTACCTTGAGCTGTTCGATATTAGTTTTAGCGTTTTTTGTTCTTCTGAAAATAATTATTATTTTCGTCGTAGTCTGTTCATGAAGGCCAAATCTATCAGCTGAAGTTGTTCTGTGATAAGGACTACCCTGAGAAACCTCCCAGCGTCCGGTTCCACACACGGATAAATATGGCTTGTGTTAATCCTGAGACTGGAGTGGTATGTGCTAGCTTTTCTTTTTAGGGAAATTTACATAAATACCATATATTTTGTATGTAATTACGTTTCTAACACCTAAACTTATATATTTATATTTCTAATACTTTGGTGTTATAAAATTATGCAGTAGAAGATGTATTTCACTTCTAAAAAGTAAGTAGAAGCTGTATTATTTGATGTGATATTAAAGATATGAGAGCTATACATGTAATTCCTAAAGTCTAGGTGTTAGATGTATAAAGACATAAGCATGGTCTGGTATTTAAGTAAATGATCCTTCTTTTTATCATTGGAGTTTAATTTGCAAGCTGACTACTGTTAAAACTTTAAGAAATCTTTGTTTTACAGATTTTGATAGTGTCAATTTGTAGATTATAGACCTATACCCCTAAATTTCTAATATTTTAAATACATGAAGGAACAATATCTCAATGATTTAGACCTTGATCTAGTGGTTTATATTCAGCTTCTAACCATAACTTCATGATTCTATTCGCATTTTTACATTTTTGCTCCCTTAAAAACAATTGAAAATGGGCATCCATTTCGATTTAACTTTTGTTTCAAAGTTTGTTCCCTTTAATAACTCTTTAAATCTATAATTGGCTTGTATCCACATCATAAATATATTGGCAAGATCTTCATTATTTATCCCCATTTCTAAACAATCCATCATAAATCTTAACATGGAAAGAATTTTGATGTTTTTTTTTTTCTCTTAAACATTATGCAGGTGGAGCCAAAGAAGTTTGGTTTGTTGGCTAATTGGCATAAAGAGAGTACAATGGAGGATATATTAACTCAATTGAAAAAGGAAATGGCTGCTCCCCATAATCGCAAGGTTGTGCAGCCGCCAGAAGGTACTTTCTTCTAGAATTGGTGGGCATTAACTATTTGCGCCATTCCTGAAGTGTGCATCTGTGTGCTACTTTACTCCTTGAAAGCGTTGAATGTAAAAGAATAAGATGTTTTTGAGTATTTAATATCTATTTATAAGCTAGAAACAAGCAATGGCTGTTTATATGAAATTCCTTGCCCCTATACTTCTAATCTCAAGATTTGATTTTGTTTCTTCCTCCTTTGCCATTTATGATAGCTTGGAGAGAAGTATGGCATTTTTTTTCAATTAATGAAACTCCTCATGAGTGCAAGGTGGTGTTTGATAGCATTCTATTAATAGGATTTAGCGATGGATTTAATTTAAATCCGGCCAAACACCAACAACTAAACATCAACATCCAACACTTCGTTAAATCTAATTTTCTTACTTTCTGTCTATTTTTGCTTGCATTTCATCTCTTTCCTAACATAAATCCCGATTTAGCGTGGCGGATTTATTTGGCTGTTGCTTGCGAACCAGCCGTTGAAGATAAATCCGGATTCTATCGGATTAGATAAATCCTACTTTACGTAAATCTAAGTTGCAGCCAAACTACTAATAAAATTGTTATATATACATATAAACTTTTATGGAAATTATGT